CTTATGGCATGCACTAACTGCAATGTGAGATTACATGGAATATAATCATGTATTTATTGACTTGCTCCAGACGTACACTTTATGAATTTACCAGACCGTAACATTTCAATGACATTTTAATGCCACGTTAACATCACAGGGTACAATTGCTATTCATTTGCATGTTCTATAACTGGAGTAAGTGTTTAAGAATACATGAGTGATCTTATACCCCGACACAATTAGAATTTATTATTCTAATTTATAAATTAATTAAAAGTAATGTGTGATTTACGATAACACGGTTAACCCCCCCCCCCTCTGTGGTCAAAGCCCCGCTGTGGTCAAACCCCCTATGGTCAAAGCCCCCTTGTGGTCCAATCCCCTATGGTCAAACCCCCTATGGTCAAAGCACCCAGGACCGTTAGATCCAAGTGTGTAGCTACTTAGCCAGAGGAAAAAATATTCACATCGTCTCGGGACCAGGTGTTGTGTTTAACTTGTTTACCCTAAAGTCCGGAGCGACACAGTTAAATAACGATTGACAGCTGAGAGAAAACTCCAAAATGAATGTTGTCTTGCTTATTTTTTTTTTAAGTATGTAAAGGCTATCAATAAAAATGAAGAAATAATGTATGTGTAAACTTGCCTCGCTTTTTGATAATAGTTTAATACTTAATAATTACATATGACGGAGGAAATATACCCACCAATATTAATTTTAAGAAGAAAGATATCCTTTTAAATATATCAATAATATATATATATATATATATATATATATATATATATATATATATATATATATATATATATATATATATATATATATATATATATATATGTTGTTTTTTGAATATGCATGATGATATGCATATAAGAAATGCTGCTCTGTACGTGGAGTTTTTTTTTTACTCAATCATTTGTTCCTCGCTATTGTTTGTCGGAATAGGAAATAACGTGGGATTACAGCGAGGAGCGGGCTTATAGTGGCTTATTTTCTTCGTCCGACTGCTAAGCAGAGTTTCTTTCAGGCATCATTAGCGAAATAAAATCGATAAAGACAATATATACTTATACCGGGAGCAAGCCGTTTTTCCGAATGCCGATTTTCTGAATAGACACCTACCCAAATGCGACAAATGCCCGAATGGACACATGCCCATATGTCGAACCAGCTCAAGCGGGGTTAAAAGAGTACAGCTCTATATGGTAGACATTCTAAAGACAAAGCAGTCATTATTTCATTCCAAGACGCAGATGCACATGCAAAAAGGTTCCAACTTGTTGAACTTCGTTAAAACTGAATGGTTCAATTAATTTGTACAGGCGGCATGCTAGGGGCGACAATTAAGCGTTAGATTTTTTAATAATGTTAACTGAAGTGACCACTTATATTATAGACGCTAGGCTAAAGATTATCTAAATATAGCAGAGGTTATAAAAGGTGCTTGGGTAAACGTCATTGCTTTGAGTTATTGCGTGTACATGTACAGCTGTTTATGCCTATAGGGTAGGTGATGGGAGAGATTTGAAGACGTACTATAAAAAGATGGAACATAAGAAACATTACGTTTATTTGTTGCATATATCAACCTATTTCAATATATTGCAATTTCTTTTTGCATGATGATTAATCTTGAAATGCTGTGTCCATAAAACTATTCAAAATTTAAATGTAATTCAGTATTAGAAGAAAGAAAACTATGGATTTTAACTCGGGATATAGACACAATTTTTAATCTATTTTGCAATACTTCAACTTTTAAAAACAGAATAGAATCTTGAAGAAAAATAAAGAAGAACTTCCGGTCACCTTAAATTAATCAAGATTTGACAGAAACAGATCATAAACTTTTTTGTGAAAGTTTATGTATCTATCAGAAATAGTACAGGTTATAAACTTTTGAAAAACCGAAAATCCGTGAAAAAATTAAACAGAACTATAAAGTTGATAAAATACTTACATATATGAAATTTCGTCAACCTAGCTGTAACGGTACTCAAAGAAACACAGACACAGAGACACACAGACATACCGACAAGATTGCAAAATTTAGTTTGTTCGACTAGGTGAGGTGTAAAACGTCGCGATTTGTGAACTTCTTGATTATGATTACAGTACTTCTTCTATACTCCGAATAGGAAAAATTAAAATTAAAGCACTTATCACATCTGTTTAACCAGCTGCGCCCCTCTACACGTAGATATCACCCCCCCCCCCCCCCCCACCGTGTACTACCTAGCCTTCATAGGAGGGGCAGAAATTCTTTAGTTGGTTCTCTCGGTGAGGAAAAAAAAGTCATAGTTTTCGTTGTTTAAAAAGAAAGTGGGGGTTAAGGTTAGGGATGAGGCGGATGCTGGGAAGATTTTTTTCCAATGAAGGAAAAATAACAAAAATGTGTTAAATTATTTATGGAAGACTGATTGCTCTTCCATCCGCATGTTGTGAGCTGTTATTTTCCAGTTCCTTGTAGGTTTGTTACGTGTATATACATGTTTGAAAGTATGAACAGTGTCACCCCACTCTTTAACACTTATCTTACACTACAACCATCTATGGCACCTAAAATAAGCAGATGAAACACAATATTTTGATGTGGATTTATTCTGACCATAAAAATAAATGAAAACTTTTTATTTGAAAAATACTTTTTACGCAAGCTACAATCTTGTGTGTTTTAAGGACACTACATACAATGTAGCATAAAACAATATAAAATACAAAATGCTATCCGAATTGCAAAGTGAAATATAAGCTCAAGTTCGAATAGCTTCTGACTCATTATGCTCCTTTACATAGTCTACAACTTTGGAGGGGGGGGGGCACAACAAAAATTGCTGTATTATGGATTATAACATTTAAATAGTTGAGTAATCGGGCAAATATTATAAATGCAGACTTATCAAAGTTTCGGCGTTTTATTCGTAATCGAGTTGGGAAAACTGGGCTTTGCAATTCTCTCCGTACGTCTGCGCGTGTGTGTGTGTGTGTGTTAACCCGATGACTGGAGTACCGTTACAGGTAGGCTGATGAAATTTCATATATAAGTATTATATCAAATTAGTAGTTCTATTTCTACTTTTCAGCGAATTCCGATAAACGGGAGTGGAACTTATTCTACTTTTGGTTTTTCAACATAACTACTGTATCAGGTAGATTAACGAAATTTCAAATAAAAGTAAACGATCTAATTTTCTGCCGTCTTACAGATTGTTAGTCATTTCTGTGTACCGGAAGTAGTCCTTTACGCTTTTTCCGATTTCTCAAAAAAAAAACGCATATGAATTTATAAAGTATTAATATTTCGCACTATTATACACACTTTGTTTGCTGTTCACTTGGTGCGCAATCATTTTTCTACGCTATTCTTTTACTTTTTTAAAGTTGAAATAATTAATATGAATTAAAATTCTTTTGTATATCCCGAGCTGCCATCCCCTGTAGTATTATATAAGTAGGCCAAAATTCGAGAAAGTATAGGAGAGATCAATCCCGCTTTAATGTAGATTAGTATATATTTTTTAAAAATCTTCCATCCACCCAGCCTGCCACCAATCCATCCAACCTGCCTCTTACACTACAATCCACCTTACCATCCTCCCACCCTATCATCCATCCACCCTTCGATCTATCAACTTGTTTTTTTTTATCAAATCTTCCCCATACTTTTGTATCAACACTAGTAAAAAAGAACACGTATCCCTGTATGCAAAAATAGCTCCGCCAGTATTGCTTGTGGCTACAATGTCCAACATTATCCTCTTAACTTACTAAGTTTCGTATTTATTTCAATTATTCATTGTTAAGAATCGCATTATTTGAAAGCTACATCTATGCTGCTATTTATTTTTATAAATGATCAAGTTTTCAAATGTAATGTATATTTTTTTATTCCTAACAATAATGAAGTTTAAAATCCACATGCGTCCCCTACTATATAAAACCCACAGTTATTTTTCTCTCATCTTCTAAACATAAAGCACAACGGAAATTATGATTAAAAATCAAGCTCTAACTTTAACACCAGAGTGCTTTCCCCTTTTACTCGAAAACGATTTTCCCCGGACAATATATTATTATCTTGTATGTTTATATCGGTGAAAGCCGTGTTGTTTGTGTTGTTTTTACCATCAGTTAAGTCTCACGTCGGAAATTTTTATGCCTTATTTTACACACACACACACACACACACACACAAACACACACCGACATACATAGACAAAAACATAGACAAACTGACACACACACACACACACACAGAAACACACACATTCACAAACAAACACACACAAACTAACTCAATATTACACACATACACATTTTAAAAATAAGCTTGTCGATTTTCCAAGGAAATTCATTTTTTTTAGCAGAATAAATCACTATAAACACATAATACTTTATACCCATTTTAATACATATTGCCAATTTAACACTTGAAAACCGCTTATTATAAGATAATTAATTAACCAATTAATAGAAACTAAGTATTAAAGAAATACACAAGTAATAAACGATTTTCTTAGATCATACAAAATCAATGCTAAAAATAATTTTTAAATGTCTCATTTTATTTAATACTCTTTATAATGCTTATTTACATTTTTTTAAATTGTCTAGCAGCATTTTGAAGTTAACCATGTTTTTTTGTCAAACAAAGTTGTTGTAATACAAAATCTAATTTAAATATAACATAGTTAAAATTTACTTGTTTTGAATGAAGAATGAAGACAATATAATAGAGGTTATAAAATATGTAGAAAACATAAATAATACATTGACGTTTAGTAATAGTAAAAGGAAAAGCTATAATCAAATATAGGATTGATAAAAAATGGAGACTGCTTTTACAGCAAAAAAAACCCTATGTTCACAGATATTTCAAAACATGTATCATGTATTTTACAGTCAGTTGTGTTCTTGCAAAAATAAATTTTGCATTGTTAAAGTTTCTTTCTAAAATGGTTTCACATATTATTAATATAATAGGTACTGCAAAATTAAAAAAAAAGATTATTGTAGACCACACCTCTTTAATATGTTGACCATTAAGGCAAAAAGTATGAATTGCATTGCGAATCAATCGATCCTGAAAGTTTACAAATATCACATAATTTAATATTTATGGAACGAAGCACGTAAAAAACCATTTACAAAAAAGCGCAGGAAACATAATTCCTTGAAGATTCTTCTATGTCTATGCTGGCTGGATCTTTCATTCTCACTGTTGTACATGTTCCGTTTTTATAACGTATAAATTCCCAACAAAGAGGATCCGCCACACAAGTTGTGTAGCATTCCTGTGTGGATGATAAAAGAAAATACAAATTTTAAAGGCGTGATAGTAAACAACATACATATTAGAACGAAATTAAAATATATAAATAAATAATTGCATTTCAAACCTGTTTCTAATTGTATAATTTAGTATAGATTTGTATAGATATCCTTAGTATAGATTTTGAAACAAATGTTTAATTTTACCCTATACATAACCTAAGTATGAATTTTTCAATATAACTATATTAACACAGTGTATTTATGTAAAAATAATATTTGAATAATAAAAAAAACTTTAAAGAAAAGAAGCTTTTCTTTTATTTACAAATAAAAACACAATTGTAAATGAAAAAAATGAAATAAAATTCACTAAAAAGTAAAGAAGAAATATTTGGTGTAGCTTTACTAAAGATTAAAGCTGGTATAACTGAAAACAATATTTTGATTTTACCTCATTATCTCCCCTTTCATTATTGAAATCAGTAAATTAAAATTCAATTTTAATGACTAATTGTATATCTATTATATATACAAAATAATCAATATTCATCCAAGATCTAACACTGAGCCAAATGTCATTACAATTGGACAATGGGAAGTGGGTTTAATAGGATATACCTATTACTAATACACAAAATTCCTAATTTATTCGTCATAATGGGTTTCTTGCACTTTTGGATACTTTGTCCTTATTTGTATTAAGAAAAATATAATTTTAATGAGAAAAAAATGTGTATGTGTTTAAAATACCATTTTTATGACCCTATTAGTTAAAAAATAATAGTTTTTCCCAAATCTTACAAAATCTCTACGAAAAGTTTTAAATCCGTAATCATATTGTATTTTGCATCATTGGAAAGCTGGATTTATCATGTATTTGATCATCGTATTTTTCATCATCTCGTAAGCACACAAAGCTTATAATCGGCTTTACAATCTACATAGATATGTTATTTTCGCGACTTGCTTTTCGTTACTTTTTGCGGTTTTTCTCAGTTTGTAGGTTTTTAATTCTTAAAAAACTTACTAAATTTTTGTCACGAGGGAACTGTTATTGCTTACATAGAACAAATGTAATGGTAAAAAATATGCAAATTTTGAAACTTTTGAAAACTAAAAAACGTACGATTTTTCAGACCTTGTAAAATTGTGACCAGTAGCTCTTTCAAAAAGTCGTCTTAACAAAAGTTTTAATATATATTGACATATAAGCCGTTTAAATTTCATTGCTATAAGTGCATAAATAGGGGTCGGCGTGGTCGAGTCGGTAAAGCTTATAGTTGCCAAACCGAAAAGTCTCGAGTTCGAACTCTCGGGCAGATGAGGCTCGTTAGCTGGGGACAGCCACTCTTCTAGGAGAGACAACTCCAAAATCAAACAACTGCTGTCTTGTAGTTTGTTCTTGGTTGGACAAAGGCTAAGGAAGCTAATCCAAAAAGAAAAGCAGGCTGAAATCGGAGTCAATGGCCTCAATGGCGCATAACCAGTTGACACGTAACGCTTAATTGTGTTGGAGGCGTGGTCGAGTCGGCAAAAAGCTCATGGTTGATAAATTCGAACAAAGTCTCGAGTTCAAAACCCACTGGCAGATAAATCTCGATCCCCTTCAACAATAATAATTAAGAACGAAGAAGAAGAAGAAGTGCATAAATAAAAAAAAAACATTAGAGCGTTATTATAGGTACCGGATAATTTAAAATGGCGGAAGTTTTTTCGGGTTACCATGACAACCAAAATTATTTTCATCCGTTTTTTTGCTGTCTTACCTATATGTGCAAAACATGGTAAAAGTATTAAAAAGGGTTTAGATCTTACATTGTAAAAAATCGAAATAAACGGAGCACATACCCTTATCCCTCATGCCTAGGTTACATTCACTGAAATAAAATGAGCTAAATTTTACCTCTTTTTTACTTTCTCGTATATACGAAGTAGGCCTATAGAGAAAGTCGTGTTATCGTGCAAAAGAAAATCGAGATTTTTGCAAATTTCGACGTTTTACACCTCTCTGAGTTGAAAAAAACATAGTTTTGCCATCTTGACCGTATGTCTCTGTGCGTGTGTGTATGTGTGTGTATGTGACTGTAAACACGATAACTTGAGTACTGTTACAGCTAGGTTGATGAAATTGCATATACAAGTATTATATGAAAGTCGTAGATCCGTACATAATTTTTAAGCAATTTTCGATAACCGAAAGTGGAACTTTTTCTACTTTCAATTTTTCAAAAGCCTATAACTTGAGTTCTGTTTTAGATAGATACGTGAAATTTCACACATAAGTAAAATATCTAATTCTCTGCATTCCTTCAAAGTCTGAGTAGCTTCCTTTGACCGAGAGTAGTGGTTTAGGCTATTTCCGTGTTCTCAAAAAGTGCATGTTAATTTATAAAGTACTATTAATATTCCGCTCCATGATACACATTTTATTTGACGGTTTCTTGGGGTGCATTTCTTTTTTTCTATGAGATTCTATTGTATGTTTAAAAGTTTAAGTAATTAAAAATGTATTGAAATATTGTCCATATCACGAGTTGCCATCCCTTGCAGTGTTATATAAGAATGGTTGAGAAATTTTAGGGGAGATCACTCACGGTTTTTTTTATGATATCTATTATGTGCATTTACTTCATGAGACCAACAAAAAGTGCAATTTTTACTTTAGGTGTTGTCCATAAATTAAGTCAGACTTCAAGGTGCTGGGAGTCGTAATTTTATGAAAATATGTGATGCGGGGTGGGGGGGGGGGGGGGGTCAGATAGTGTGACGACATTCTTTTGCATTTGAAAAAAAATGTTATGTTAGGAATTGAATTTTTACGTCATTATTTCGCGTTTTAGAAAACTATTTTAGTAAACTAATGAATACACCCGTGCACAGTCAATATTGAAGAAAGAATTCTTAGACTAAAATTTTGGAGGGGAGGTGTTTTGTAAGGTGTGACGATGTGTTACGGAGGGTAAGAGGTAAAATCGTCAACAAAAGCGAGACGTCGATTATGGTTGATTTCGTACCTTTAAATTGGCGACATTTGTTAATCGGTTTTCTCTTTTGCCATAGGGTGCACATTGAGCTGGGAATATAAAGATTAATTTTGAAAAGACATACAATAACACTCAAACTTACATTATGTTTTGAAATGTATGTTTGTAATGTAGCTGTACTCAGATATATTAGAGCAGATCTATGATTATCGAAGGTTTTTGGAAAGGATGAAGCAATATTAAATACATTTCTAAAGATAAAAACAAAACACGATGATACTTTAAAAAAAAACTGACATTCATTTTTTTTCCATTAAAAATTCAATCACAATGTTTTAATTAATGTCCATAGTTTATATTTGTGTTGTGATAATATTGTGACGACATGTAGAGTTCATCTTTTTTAGAGACTTCGATAAATGAAGGAGTTTTGTCTAGCGTCTAGCTCTCTACCGCTAGGCCACGCAGTCCAATGTAGGTTACGTTAGAGATTACAAAAGTGATAGCTGCGATGTTTGGTTGAGTCTATACGCTTTGATGTTCGTGTTCCCTTGCTCAAACATATACAAACATTTACAACAACCGTATGACTAAATATTGTTATATAGTACATAACTAGCATATATTTGTCTAGCAATCAATTGTGTGAAAATTGTATATAGTACCCAAATCATCGTCATTTCCCGTTCGTACCCAAGACACTTGGAGCAGATGAAGTAGAGTTCACTAGTTTTAGTGACCTCGGCATATGAAGGGATAGTTTTGTCAGCACTAATTTTCCCTAACGTAAGTAAAGATTCATCGTAGCCGGGTGGAATCCGGGACGTTCTACGCGCCCTACCGCTGTGGCACGACATCTCATATATTTGCCACACCCCGGGCATGTTTAAATTATGCAGCGTTCTAGGTCAGTTTTTTGTCCTTTCAAGTTTTGTTTTTAAGAATGTGATAATCTTACAAAGAGAATGAATTGTTTGCGTGCTTGTTCTTGAAACGTAATAAATAATAACTTTACTTATGCTTCACTTATTCTCTCTTTATACTTTGTTATAAATTGTTTTTACTTACAGCTGACATTACTGCATCCCACATAAGCTTCAAGAGATGCATCAATGCTAGTGTCAACTGGACTACCGGCAGTTACAGAAGGGAAGCAACCGTAGCCTTTAAAATATTCGAAATAAAAGCATGACTGGTTTACACACAGCTCGAAACATTCCTGTAGATTTGTTTTAAAAATAGACACGTTAGTTAAAAATTATTTAGTTTTAATTTATTTACTAAAATACTGTGTAAAATTAGTATTATTTTTAATTAATTATTTTCGAATAAATTAATAGTATTGTAATTTCAAATGATTACGCATTGTAAAAAAAAATCAGTGTACCTGTCTTACGCAGTGTTAAGAACTAGGTATCTTAACTTTATTTTTGTTTTAGGTTTAAATTGCATACATTCCCCAACAGTTAACTGTTTAGGGTTTAGTTTTGCTTTAGCTTACTTAAACAAAACCTCAGAAGTATGTTATTACTTACAAGAACTGAAATAGAATTTACAATATTACCTTTCGTGTTGAGATTTGACGGCGTACTGCTGTATAAGTTGGATAAGCATTACAAGAAGCTGAAAAATAAAGGTTTTACACTTTTTATTTTACTGCAAATGGTGTTCCAATTTCACTTAAACATGTTCAGACAATGTTCATTTTGGCCTTGACCTATTCAGCATCATTTTGGGCATTGTCGCATTCGGGCAAGTGTCCTATTGGGAAAACGGCCTTCGTGTATGTGTCTTTCGGGAATTTGTGGTACATCCCTCACGATCTATGCCTACGGTGCTATGCTGGTGGTGTTATCCACGTAATGCTGCTATGCCAGAGGTGCTATGCCGGTAGTCCTATACCCGTAGTGCTATGCTGGTAGTGCTATACCCGTGGTGCTATGTTGGTGGTGTTATCCACATAGTGTCATACTGGTGGTGCTAGGCTGGTTGGTCCTATGCTCGTGGTGCTATGCCCGTGGCCCTATGATCCAAGATGAAATATACGAGCCGACCCGCGGCTTAGCATACGCCACTATTTATTGACGGGTAAAGACTTCCTGAAAGACACAATTGTCCAAAAGGGGTAGGTAGGTAAAGACAGCTGCGATAGCCTGGAGAGCAGTGGCGTAGCCAGGATCGTCTCAAGTGGAAAGGTGGGGGGTAAATTTGTTCCAGCATTATATATATATATATATATATATATATATATATATATATATATATATATATATATATATATATATATATATATATATATATATATATATATACTAGATGTATGTCATTGCTTCGCTATGATGTAAAATAAATTGAAAGTAGTACACTGAAGAAATAAAAAAAACACACAAACATAGAAAGCAAACAAAGTATGCACACAATACAACCTAAAACAATGAACCCAACACAATCTGTATTGTAATCCTTGTAAAAAAAACAATTTGACATAATGATTGCTAGAATATTAATCCAGACAAGCGATCTAGGGCAGGGGTCGGCAACCTTTTGAGACGGCAGAGCCAAAACTTATAATTTTCAAAATTTCCCAATTTGTAAAGAGCCACTATTATTTTTTGTTATATTTTATTAATTGATTAGGAATAGGTAAATAAATTTGATTTGTAATTAAATTGGATAGCTTTAAATATGAAATAATATTTGTTCACATAAAAACATACACTTATTTCGCCAGAATAATGACATTAGTAATTTTAAAAAATATAGGACTATCCCAATCCACTTTAGAAGCAGTTAACTTTTGTTTTTTTTTGTACGGATAATATCGGCTCAGAAGGTGTCTCACATTAGCTAGGCAGGCCTCAACATGGCAAACTCCGACTTACTGGCTTGTGTATCGGTTTGACTACCGAGTATCGGTTGCTTCTGTCCTTTGGTTCTCACCAGGCTTATCTTCCACCCCACTGAACACAGGGTATACTCGTACCCCACCGTCCAGTACCCGGCTCAACAGTAGGAAGCTAATAACTAAAAAACTTCGTCACTCACGTCAAATTAATGATTACTTATCGATAGGTAAATGTTTTCTGAATAAAATAACATTCAACATTTAACGATATTTTAAAGTCGGCGCTGGGGCAGTGGCAGGCATGGAATTGTTGCCACGGGGCTGGCCACAACATGGATGTGGGGCTGGGCCTGGCACCCAAACGGCTGTCCGTATACTTTCTATTCGCACTGTTCTATGATGAGTTTTATTCTTCTGTTTAAACGTGTATTTCTTTATAGTATAATGTTTGTTATGAGTTTTGAAAATAAAATAATATAATCTATATATATAATTCTCCTCTTGGAGACGCTAGAAAACAAGCTGTAAGCGCACCTAGCAGTTCCCTCTCTTCTTCTCTAGGCATATTTTTATTACACCCCCCATACCCACATGGTCTGGTGAGCTGTGGTTCACGCTAAATGTTTACAATCGCAGAGACGGGTTTAGTGACGGCTATTAGGGGCTGATAATTTAATTTGAAACTATTTTAAACTTATGGGAGGTAACTAAGAGGAGGCTGCTTTCACGAGGAGGGGGGGGGGGGGTTGGGGGAAAGGAGGGTTTTAGTGTTTTAAAGCAAATATTTTCAGTGGCAGCTTTAGTACTGTCGAATTCACAAATTATGAATTACTGAAAAGTAGAAAAAACAACAACGAAATAGAGGCGTATGATACTCCGCGAGTCGGCTCGTTACTAGTATTTGTGCAAGGAGCTGGAGAGCCGCATCTTGACATCAAAAGAGCCGCATGCGGCTCGCGAGCCGCAGGTTGCCGACCCCTGATCTAAGGGAAAAAAATACTCTCTTAATATAAATATATATATTTCTACAAATTTAATTGTAAATGTCAAAACATATCAATAATTAGTTTAGTATGTAATATAGTAGCTTAACACTATTCGTTTTTACAAAAATATGTTGTCTACAATCAAAATTAAATCTAATGTCATCATAAATGCTAAAATATTACAGCATAGTGATTTAAAAAAAAAAAATCAGAATTGGTATAAAATCAAGCTTTTCAATCTAATAAATAAACTAATTCTAATAGATGGAACAGTCCGAATTATAACTTACGTATAACTAAACTGATTTCTAGCAGTTCAGATCATTTATTTTTAAATTAGCTACTGTTTTCTTTTGTGTTCTTTAAAGATCATTATTTAACATAATGATAAGGTATGGGTTAGATCACTGCATTGATCACACACCTCTTTACTAGTGATTGCAAAGACAATATCTACAGAGTTTTATCTGTTTCAAAAGCTATGATTCTGGCAGCAAGGTACTTTGGTACCTCATTACGCGTTTTCCCAAATGTAATTAACAGATCAGTTCGGGGTAGGTTGTTGGGGGGGGGGGGTTTAACTTCATTCACCACTTTCCGGTCACTTTATGACAATTATCCTATCCAGCGTATACCTAGGTGTAACATTAAAGTCGCTATACATAATAGCCTGTCCCGCTTTAGGTGGTGAGGTGGGAGTAGGGGATTTACCAACTCAGAGTGAACATAGCGTCAGTTTTAGTTATTTGTTCTAAAAATACATACACAATTATACATATGTTCTGATTCAGAAATATATTTGAATTAGTAACAGTGGTATTATGACTGTAATTTTTTTACCCCTCCCCCCCTTCCACTGCCTACGCCATTGCTGGAGAGCGTGGGAGAGGGCGGGAGGAGGATTTGAAAGTCGGTGCGCGATTGTCGTGTTCCGCATGGTTGGGCTACGTGGAGAATAATATATTTAGTTTAGAAAATTGCTTTACCATAGTTAAAATGATATTCGTTTAATTTTGTTGACGTGCGTTAGATCTTTTTTAACAAAAATAGGTCTCATTATTCTCGCTATTCTTAAATATTAAATATCATGAATGTTATCAACAATGTTATAAAATAAATGCAGGAACTTAGCGGCTAACAATTCTAACTTATTTTAAAAGTACATTACACGAATAATTATTAAATATTTTATAGTTTTGCACAATATGAAATGCTTAAGATTTAGCTCTATGATGTATTATGATTATTTAAATACAGCCGAGATGTTTCTTTTTTAGTAAAATTTAAATAATAAAATGTAAGTTTTATTTACATATTGAACTGAAAACTAATTACTTTTGATAAACTCAAACTATGTACTGTTAATTAAAAGTGCGTAGTGTCAATGTCATGACTTACTTTCACACTTATTGGAGTTTGTGATATTAATGAAGAACCTAGGATAGCAGGAACACAAGAAACTTCCTTCAGTGTTTGTACATATTTGCTCGCATGGACTCCCAGAACTGCATTCATTGATATCTGAAAATATAGTAACTCGCTTTTTACATAGTTCTTGTTTGAGTGATAATATCTGATTAAAAAGTGTGTAATACCACACTCACAAACACTTAGCCTAATTGAATATAAAACCATACTTAAAAAGGAATTTATACAATCTCAAAAATGTAATCACAAATAATGCTTGAAAAGAGATTTGAAAACAAGCATTTATGTAATAATGCAGTAAAACAGAAAAAAATTTTTTTCTTTAAATATAAATTAATACACAACTAATTTTAAAATTTAAGAAAAGTGCGTTCTATTTATTGGAAACCTTAACTAATATTATTAAAAAGTTTTTAAGAAATGTATTGTCATTACTTTATAATATTTAATACTAGAGAGTTTTTTGACTACAGACTATTAAGCATAAAATGAACATAGTAATGTGCGTATAATAGTGCAGAAAGAGAATATATGTTTGCCTACTAATTTCAGGAAAAAATAATTAATTCATAAACAATTAAATGGGCATCTAATAAAGTCAAATTTAATGACATTATTGCAATGTCATTTGATCTTCACAGACAGTTAGACAATATTAATACAAATGAAGCTAGTTTTAAAAAAAGCTTGTAAGCAAACAATTTCTTGAAAATTATATAAATCTTATAAACTGCTGTAATGAACACTTTTTACAAACCGACACATCGTGTAGTATCTGTTTTGTTAATTTCGTAACCGGAATTGCATGAACATAAGAAGCTTCCATTTGTGTTGTTACAAATGTGTTCACAGGGGCTTGCAGTTTGGATGTTGCATTCATCTATATCTGAAACATATATATATATATATATATATATATATATATATATATATATATATATATTCCAGCCAAGGAGGATAATAATAAGTAGTAATTTATTGGGTTGCGGCCCATTTTGTACCGCGACTGTTGATGTCATGTTTTCGTACTCTTCTGTGAGCGATTTTAACCTGTGTTCTATGTCGGATGAGAGGACATCGCGGGCCGCATACGGCCTGCGGGCCGTAGTTTGGAGACCCCTGATTTAAATTAAAGCAGCTAGCATGGATAGCAGAACAAAAGTCAGTCTGTGCACACTCATCAATATTAGTTTCACAGTTTTTGCCATTCCACCCAAACAGACAAGAGCATTCTCCTGCACTGTCCAGGCAATCTACTGTGTTCTCCATAACACATGAGCAAGGATTTGAGCAAAGAAGGTGTTATTACAAGCTGTAAGAAAATCAGAATAGTGTAACGTCATAATCTTAAATAAATAGAGTTTTGTTATTAGCACTCTAAAGTATTTTACTGCTAAAATAATTTCTAAAATATGTAAAATAAAAGATTGATATAAAATTATTTGGCATCTGATTACATGTCACAAATATTATTTTGAAAATTGAGGGTTAAATTAAAACACATTACTGTGTTAAACAAAAATGACATAATATTTGTTATCCAATTCATAATGACTTATCAGTTGATTAAAAAATTAAATTTGATATTAATTAAAAAATAGTTTAAATATAGTTTAAAGAAATATTTTATGACAGAGAATTGAGAAGCTTCTGCCCTACCTTTGCACTGCAGGTCAATAAGTGATCTTTGAAAACCAATCTCACACCTACATTCTGCTGACCCAACCAAATTAAAGCAAACTTCCATGTAATCAGGACAGTAGCTGGCATTAAGGCACTCATTGACATCTTCATCACAAGTGGTGCCATTCCAACCAGCTGCACACAAACATTCTCCTGTGGTGTCATTGCAATCAACTGTGTTGTTTAGGTTACAGCTGCAGGTGTTGGCACAGTTCAGACCATAGTGGGTAGCATTACAGGCTGTTATAAATAGAGATTTTCGTTTCATTTAGTCTTTCATTTAAATTGATATTTATGAGTATATACAAAAATAATCTAGCAATTTACAGACAAAATCTTGACAAGATATGATGGCATGAAATATTAAATGTATAATCAATACAAATCATGGAAAGTTTTTATGTTAGTGTTGGAGCTTTATAAACTAAGTTGAAATTTTACAAATGTAAATCTGTGTATGCTACTAATGTTATATATGCACACACATTAAATTTGATTTCTGATATTTGTGATTTTTTTTACTTTCAGGAATGACCGCATAATTTTAAAAAATGTTAAAAATACTCAATCGTCAAAAATATCATACGTATTTTGTAGTGAATTCATTTTTTCTGATTTCTTTTTTAAATTCTGAGAACATTTGTTTGCGATAGCAGTAATCCAATCACATATAGGTACAGATACATATAAAGGTACAGGTACATTTTATTGTTATTTATTTAAATTATATAACCTGAAGAAGTTGTTTGCCAACCCGCAAATAAAAAGCTGTTTCTATTTAGAAATTTGACTCTTATTATATTTGTACAACTTACCGTCTTATTAAGGAATGTAAGGTGATATGTAATAAAAAAAATTATAATGACGTAAAAGGTAAACCCTTTCCTAGTCAACAATTTTTATTTATTTACCTATAAAAAATAATTTGGTATAAATCAAAATTGTTAGTATTGCTTAATATCAATAAGTCAATGAGCATTTGTCGTACGGATGTCAGTTTTTAGCATTTTCGTTTACTCACCTTCACACTGATTGGGATCAATACTACTTATTTTGTATCCAGGTTCACAAGAACACACAAGGCTTCCATTTAAGTTGATACTTATCTGCTCACATTGGTTTGTGTTTACTTGAACGCCCTCATCCCTTTCTTAAAATAAGTATATTTTAAAAATTAAAATGTAAAACGTATTATGTAATATTCTTATTAGGACATATACGCAGTGCCGGCGCCAGGTTATTTAGCGCCTTAGATAAAATTTATTAAAATCCCCCAGCAACTTTTTTGAGGCCCCATTATATATATATATATATATATATATATATATATATATATATATATATATATATATATATATATATATATATATATATATATATATATATATATATATATATATATATATATATATGCCTATATATATTAATGTTTGGATTGGACTCGGTAAGTTTATCCGCTTGTGTCTTTTGATGATATTGGATTTATTATAAAGGAAGCCAGATAGAATGTTATTTGTTTCTAATTGTTGGAGCCTCTCTGCCAAAGACTGTATACCCATATCCAAGATATGTAGTAGAATTGTTCAGTTTCTTGTGGTGCCAATAATTAATATAGTTTGAAAATCAAAATATCTCCCTTGCTAACAAGATTTCTAATTCAACTTGAGAGAAAACTGGACTCACAAGCCCTATTAAAAATCAAAATTGCACGCGCGATCTAGGGATCACTAAGATAACATCAAAATTAGATAATTATTTGAAATGTTAGAAATTAAGATTTAGATGATATACAATAATTATTTAATTTAACAGAGGCGTAGTTAGGGAAGGGCTGGTGGGGCGCTCGCCACAGGCGCCTGTGACCTACTTAGGCCCAGTAATGTTTTATTTTGACATTGTATAATACCTTATAGGGGTGATGGTGCAACCACCGGGGTTTTTCCACTGTCTTATTAAGGGTGTCTAGGACCCAGAAATTTTCCATCAAGATCTGATTGATTGATTCTGATCAGATGACCACCCCATAGCTCAGTGGCTAGGATCTCGGCGCGCCACGGCGGCGGCCGAGGTTCGAATACTCGGTGAGAAACTGAGTATAGTCTATGGTGTCTAGTGGTTTAGTGGCTTAGTGTGGCATAGTGGTTAGGAACACCATTAGTGGCCTAGTGGTTAGAACCACGTAAAGTGTCACACAATAGGAAACACAACCAGCACGAGAACAGTAGCTCAAGTGGCCTTGAGTGATCTGTGAGTCTCCATAGAGACTTGTCGCGCAGGCAGTCTACCTTGATCAAGCGGTCTATTAGGACCAAGCCGTCCATATTGTCCGGCAATAGATTCTGACCATTTGAACGTGAGAGAGCTTAAGTCCTGTGTGTGCTATGCTTTCTTAAGTTGTTTTAGTATTCTAGTATAATATTACTTGTCGCCAAGTGATTCTTGATGCTATAACAGTGTTGTGTGGCCTGTGGCTATTTTTATACAGTGTTAAAATCTGTGATAGTGTTTTTTCCTTACGCTTTGTAAGTTGGGTTTTGTTATTTTCTAAATTAAATATTTTATCTCGTTTAACCTAGTGTTCTGCCACAACTGTGTTCGCTTATTAAAGGTTGTATGCAGATTGGATGAGTGTTAATTTCAATAGTATCACTAGTTTTCCCTAGACATCGAGATCGAGCCCTAGTGTGTTGTTGAGTTAGGTTTCATTCATTTAGGCTTTAAGTCATTTGCACATAACCCCGAAAAAAGAATCCGGGGACGTTCACCATCTATCTGGCTGATAGATAGGTAAACGTTACACGCCGAAACAAAGGGAGTGCCAAACATGGTAGTTAATAATATAAAAAGCTCATTACTAAATTATATACAGTGGCAAAAAGAATGTTGACTGCTACTTAGCAATACGGACCTATTTGTTTTCATTTGTGGGAAGCCAAAAAAAACGACAGGTAAAAAGCGCCCTGGCTTGTTCAAATGAGGAAAGAGGGAGGGAGCATATTCACCAACGCGAATAACTATTTATAGGCCTAATTATAAGAGGGGTGGGGTGTCCAAATTGACAGTTCGTCATTTGCAGCGAAATAGATCGCTACGCAAAGTTATTTATTATTAGGAACTTTTTAATAATGGCGATTACACATTTTTGCGCCCTCGTATGGATTGCACCCTAGGCGACCGCCTAGTTCTAGTTCGCCTTATATGCAGCGCCGGACCTGACTATTCTTAGCATGATGTATATACATAACGATATTTTATTCAAATACTTCTAAAACGGACATTATGGAAATAAAATTCTAATGTATTGATATATCTAAAAGGCCTTTAACTTACTTTGTAAGTTTAAAAAAACGTTTCTGCTATTCTTTTTTCCAAAAGAAGTAATTATTAAAGGGGTAGGCTACAGAAAAAACCAACTTCTTAAATAAAACGTTTTATTGCTTTATTTATGTATATCTCTAAGTTAGGGTACTTAAAGGAAAATATTTCCATGCATCGGGGACTCTTTTTAAAATATGGTTGCCATGGCAACGGCGGCCATCTTGAGAAAAAAAAACGTCCTTTTCTGGAGTTCTAAAATTTTATAAACTAACATATATAAGGATTATATAACCATTGATCCTTCTTTTTTTTGTATCAGAAAACACTTTAGAAATTTTTTTGTTTCGAAATTTGGTATGGCGAAATTCCATTGAAATTAATGATAAATTAAATGGTATTTCACCATTAAAAAAACTTGAAAATTTGAAAAAAATATTTCTGGCTGATTTTCGATTACAACTAGCCAGCTGACTCTATTGTTGTTAGTACAAGAAGGATCACTGATTATATGGGCGGTTTATATGTTACTTTATGAAATTTTAGAACTCCACAAAAGGTAGTTTTTCCATGGCAACCATGGTATGGCGAAATTCCATTGAAATTAATGATAAATTAAATGGTATTTCACCATTAAAAAAACTTGAAAATTTGAAAAAAATATTTCTGGCTGATTTTCGATTACAACTAGCCAGCTGACTCTATTGTTGTTAGTACAAGAAGGATCACTGATTATATGGGCGGTTTATATGTTACTTTATGAAATTTTAGAACTCCACAAAAGGTAGTTTTTCCATGGCAACCATATTTTCAGAAGAGTCCCTGGTACATGGAAATATTTTCCCTTAAGTACCATAACTTACACATAAACAAATGAATAATAAAAAGGCTTATTAATTAAAAAGTTTTTTCCCCTGTTTTTTTTCCGGACCCTACCCCCTTAACCTAATTATTCTATTAGTTATAATTTAAAGGGAATGTTGGTACATAGTCGGTATTGTAGCATTTAAATTATTGAGTAAACATGTTTTAAATGTTAAATATTTAGCAAAGACCAATAATTTAAGTGTTTTTTTTCTGTTTGAAAGTGATGTTCAGGAACTAAATTTTAGTCTTTAATATTTGCATACACATTTTATCAACATTTAAAAAAATATATATTCATCTTACTTTCTGTAAAAAATAAAATCAACAAAAACAGTAAAGCTACTCCAACTATTGTGCATGACAGGAACATACTTGCACTGAAAAATAAAACGTCAATTAGTGAAGATGTTACCTATACTTTAGAAAAAGTCTCGGTCTATATTTAGGTGGGAACAGGGCATTCCCCCCCCCCCCCCCGGTTCATTACCCTCCCCCCCCCCGAAGTAATTGCCTCCTGCGAATTATCCCCCGACGAGTAGGACATTCCCCCCCGGTCATAGCTTGGGTTAGAGCTAGTGTTTGTGTTTGGTCTATGTCTATGTCTATGTCTATGTCTATGTCTATGTCTATGT